GCTCTGGCGCGAGCTGGCGGCTCGGCCGGCCGGTGCGAAAGAGCACGCTCTCGCTGTTGTGCACCGATACCTTTCAGCGTCCGCTATCAGCTATCAGCGATATCTGGCAGACAGACGGGCGGGCCGCGCGCGTGATGTGGTGCGCCGCGCCGCATCGCTAACTTTTGACCTCGCGGCGACAGGGCGGCGGCCAGACAGACGAGGTCCGCTGGAAATCGAGTAAAAGCCGGGTGGTCGCGCGCGAATCGCAGCACTTGGAGAAAAATACACACCCCGCCAAAACGCTGTGGCTGTCAAAACGGCGCGCCGACATTTGGTTTGTTTGAACGTGTGGTCACGCCATTTCGACATGTATTCGCGATATTGTTTCGGTATCCCGTTTCGGGGAGTGGCCGATCAGAATCAGTCGGCCGCAACATGCAGCAGGGCTCCATGGAGGTCATTCCCTTCGGACAGTTCGCTGCGCGCGTCTGGATTTTCGACTCTACGGTTCAATGCAATCCGTATTTCCAGCGGTTAAAAAGCAGACACCAACCAGCTGCACCTCTTTATTCGCAAACCTTTTTCCTCGCGTTTCCTGCCCTTTCTTTTTATTCGCAGAGATCACCGAGAGGTCGTCGCTGTGCTGTGCGCGCCGACGCACACATCTCGATGCTCCCAATGACTGAGTCGTGCAGGAAACTGCACATTATCGAGGTTGGGGCGCAGCGGGCCACGCCACGCCACGCCGCAGGGCCTTCGGGCAGCCTCCAGTTAGTACCCCACCCACCCCGCCACGCCCCGCCACGCCCGCAGTCCGGTGCAGTGCGCTGGTCAGCGTGGCGTGGCTTGGCGGGGCGGGTTCGGGTCAGACGTACCGATACAGCACTGCACGCCCCGTGGCACCGATACCCGAGGCACGCCCGCCCGCCTAGACTGACGCCGCCCCGCCCCGCCTGCAGCAGGAAGTCAGCCCTGCGCCGCCGCCGTCAAGCTCAGCGAGGACACTGCGCGCTGCGCGAAAATATAAATACCGAATACAGAGACAACAAAATGGTCTTAGATTGGGCGTGTCAATGCACTCGTGCAGGAGTCGGGCTCTTGCCACCTGGAATGACCCAGTGAGGCTGTGCTGGAGCGACACCTACTCCACCTCCTCGGGCACACGGTACGGGGCGCGGGGACGAGTCCGGCGGGAGGGTGAGGAGGTGGAAGGGGACAGCACGGAGGGCGAGGAGGGGAGCAGAGCTGTGCAAAGAGAGGAGGGAGCGGGGAGGCCGAGAGGCGCAAGCGTGGAACAATGTTTGGGATTTCGAGGCTGATAAAGAATACAAAGCGCCTTCTTTGGAAGCAGCAAATGAAAGCGTGCTGGCCGGCGCGGCGTGGCGCGCGGCCCCCTGGCTGGCCCGCGTGCAGCAGGCGTGCACACCGGCCCGTCGCTGCAGCACACCGTGTACACCGTGGTGTACACCGCCGCCCGCTCACTCGCACCCAGCGGGGCAGGCGGGCGCCCCGGGGCCCTCCGCGCAGCCACCACCCACGCCCCGCGCCACGCCCATCCTCGCCCTGCCCCAGCAGCATAACGGCAAGGCAAGGATCCATATCGGGCATACTGCGAACACAGTGCGCGTCCAAAATGCAGAGGGGGCGGCATGGCTCAGACCCGGCGCCGCCGGGCCGGGGACCCCTGCGGACCCGCCCGCCGCCGGAGCAGACGGCTTGTCTTCCCCGGGGACGGATCATCGGTCGGCCCGTGCGGCTGCTGCTGCTGCTGCTCCTGCTGCTGCTGCTACCGGAGTTCCTGCGGCAGAAGTGGTTCCGGGTATTCCGCCGCGCCCCGCCTGCTTGCCCCGCCGCGCCGCACGCCGCGCCACTCCGACAACTACTACATCTCGAGGGTCCGGCCGGGTCAGCTCAGATAGTGCGACATTTCACGGAAGCTAAAGTACACGGGCAAACAGCAGGGGGGGGGGGGGATAAGGGAGTTGCGCTGCCGAGCACCCGCGTCGTCCATGGCGCACCACAGCCGGTAGCGCCACCTAGGGCGCAGAATCCTCCCCTGCTCATCGGCGACCCCCATGGGACCGGACGGGACGTGAGTGGACGTCCTGGTCCTGGCGTCCCCACTTGAGAGGCATCCACGATGAACGAGAGCGAGGGACAGGAGGGCGGCGGTGAGGGCGGAGAGAGCGAAGACGAGGGAGGGAGAGAGAGAGAGGAGAGAGCAGCGGAGAGGATGGGCGGAGTTCCTCGGGCTCGGTAAGGTGCAGCACGGCACGCTGCGGGGCGGCCATGCCGGTGTCTGGTCGTGCGACGTCTCTGTTTAGCGTGTTCGGCTGCATGCAATTATTCTGTAACCAGCCGTGACCTGCGCAACGCCGTATCGCTTGGCGTTGGTCCGAGAAGCGCGGACGAGGGGGTCGGGGGGACGGGGCTGTGAGGGGAACAAAGCCTGAACGCCACGGGGCCATGGGGGCCAGCAGCGCGGCCAAGGAGCAGGGAGTTTGCCAGGCAAAAAACCTCTCTCTCGCCACACCGTCTCATCGCCCCTGGAGGCCGTGCTCGCTGGCGGAGGTATGGTGCCCCCTGGTGCCCGAGCCCGCCCCCGCAGCCCCCAGTTCGCACACCCTCCCAGCTCCCGCTCCCGCCCCTGCCGCGGGCTGCAGCGCGCGCGGGCCGCCGCCGCCCCGCCCTGTGAGTGGACGCAGTGAGGTGCAGCTCCTCAGGGCGTCATCGTGCAGCTCACATCCGGCCCGGCCGACCCGACCCGCCCGGCGAGGCCCGCCTGCCCTGACGGGCCTAACCCCGTCCCGGTCGGCGCAGGCCAGCCCGCTGCAATGATGTTGTCCGTCAGGAGGGTAATTGCAGAAAACAGCCAAGACCTATCCACTTCTACTCGCCTCCCCCCCCCCCTCCCTGCCCCCTTTCTCTGGTATCAATCACGGAGCAGTCGAATGTGCTGCACAGACCGACTGGGGCACTCGCTATTCACCGACTCATGACGCCACGCCAGGCGCGGAGGTGCCCCGCCCCGCCCCGCCCCGCCCCGCCAAGCTCTGCTCCACTGCGTTCCCACGAGAGACCAGCGGGATCAGGGAGGGACCCTGTTAGAAACGCCGCAAACTGCCAGCAGGCCAAGGCGGCGCCAGGCAGGGGTTGCCGTTGAGGGACGAGGGGGAGCAGTTTGCCAAGCCACATCCCAGTGCGCTTCCCGCCTTTGACACCCCAGGATCCTCCTGCGACCGCAGGGACTGAACCACCCTGCTCTCCCAGGTCCCAAACGACTTGAGACTTCTCTGGGTTCATGGGGGAATGGAGTCATAAGACTAAAGGGAGTGCAGGTGAATTGATTGAATATGACTGAAGCGAAAGTCTTGCCATAGGCTCTCAAAAGATCCAATTGCATGTGAACATCAATAAGTTTTTAGGAAATTGGTAAAGAAATCTTGATATGGGTTGGACAGAGTTAGGTAAAGTCCAACTTCAATAATATTTAAAAAAAAAAAAAAATCAACTTAAATTTAACTAAAATTTAAAGACACTTCTGGGCTTTTAACACTTTGGGTCCCAGGAGGGTCCGCTTTTGCATGCTATGAGCACCTTACCCCATTCGGTGGCGAGGTGGCAGCGCGTAGTGGGAACCATAACATGCCAATTTTCTTGTGCGTTTCGGTTAAAATGAGTAGTCTTATCGTCTTCGGTGTGAAAAATTAACACCCTACCACACAAGTTTTATCAAAAATAACACCAAACTAAGGGCGTTTCAGATATTTTAGCGACTAGAGGCTTCTGCTTTGTTATGGTTCCGCCGAATGGGGTGAGGTGCTCATTGTCACCATACGTGTGGTCATGTGGGACTCAACGTGATAAGATATACAATTTGAACTGGACACACACATACATTGAGACTACATGTGGGGTATGTTGATCATTGTTTTTTTGAATAAGTATTGTTAGCAAGTATAAAAATCACCACTGTCTGTTGTTTCCGGATTAACAAACAAAAGTTCAACTCTCTCCATGTAAAGAAATTAATAAGAACCCACAGAGAAACAAGTGGACCCGCCACACAGGAAGTTACGATGATAATCTCATAATGAAACATTACACTTACATAACCCCTTCAAAAAAAAGGAAAAGATGCTTTAAAAATAGAAAACAGATGAACTCACCAGAAAGTTGATCTCCATTCATTGCTGATCTGATGAACCAAGGTGGTGAATATATTCATATTCCACCTTGACCTCGAACTGTAACACTGGGGAAACACTGCTAACCTCCACACGACAAAACACTTTTCCATATCCTCTTCTTCAATAGATTTTCTTTTTTTCCAAGACGAAAAGTTTCCACAAGTGTGGATTTACTGAAAAGTTCATGTTTTGAAAACATAAATAGTTTCAAAACATTTAACCTCAACACACAACCTGCCGACCAGACGAACCGGAAGCGACGACGTACGTACGACGGCTGTCATTATTCGCACTCACAGTCAACAGCAAGCTAATCAGCTGCCCCGACGAGTCGGAGCAGTGGAGTCTGTTTCGTATGTGTGCGTGTGTCACAGAAATTGATCAAGTAATTTTCATGACATACTCGCGGGTGATTCTGGTAGTGAGGAAAACGTTTTACATTTATTGGTGATTGAATGAAACGAGTGCCGCTAGAAGACGAAAGCTAACAGATAGCTCACCCAAGCGACGGCCACCGGAGCTCGGAGGTTAGGAGAGCAAGCACGACCCACCAACCCACCAAGTAAGTTATAGTTGTTTTCCTCGAGTCATTGGTGATAATGACAAATTGCGGCAACCCTTTCCATGCGAGACGGTTTTCTGCTGTCCCGCCTCCGAGGCAAAGGTCATCAAAGACCTACGAAAATTTTAGGGTAGACTCATAGCAGCACTGTGGGGGGCACCTGCCACAGGGAACGACAAGTTAGTCGTCTCCGTCTCCACCTGCGTGGACCCACCGCACGGCAAGTGTTAATGTACCATTCTGTGACCGGCGGGCACGCTATGGTCAGTTTACTTTCCTGTAGACTATATTTGCTGGCAGTCTTGCATGAATGTGTGCCCACCTTGGGAAGGAGGGAGAGGGGGGGGGGGCGCTTCTGGAAAAGTTAGGTATGGTCCTACGACGACGTTGTCCCACATTGCTGGATTTGCCCACACCTCCGCATTTAAAACTGTTGCACAGTACCGTGCAGCTGTTAAAACCGACATGTCGAAACGGTCGCAGCGGCGGCATAAATATTCGTTGCGCATCGCGGCGTGTCGGCGAGACCAACGAACGAACGAACGAACGAACGGCGGCGCGACTCTCTCCCTCACTTCGGAGAAGCGCGATCGGACATGATGATCGTGAGTCCGCGACGCTCGCGGATCTCTGTACTGGCGCGGGGTATCGACGCGTGGATCATGTCGTGGGGAGTATCGACACGCACGCACTCGGGGACGGGCGGGGACGGGTCGGCGACAGGGAGGGACGGGAAAAAGAGCGGCGAGCGGAGCGACGCCCCCAAAGCGTCGCGAAGCATCCAGTCGAGCTGATAAGCCCCAGGGCTGGGGCGGGGCGTCGCGGCGGCAGCGCAGCGCAGCAGGGTTGATTGCAGCTAGCGGGCAATGCCTCCATCGTGCACTTGCGTGTGGCCGCCAGCTCGGTCCCGTGCCGCCGCCGCGTGGCGTGGCGCCGCCGCCCCAGGTACCCGGCGGTACCCGCGGCGCCCCCGCCTGCCCCCG